CTACTCTACCAGGAAGCTAAAAACGAATGCAGCCTAGAAGGCGGACTGGGGGCCTGGGGACTCTCTTGGTGCTTCAATGGCTATCCGGGATGCATAGGAATCCCCCCTAGCACGTATTGCAGCTGGCTCCGATGATACTTCCTTTCACGTTGGAATTAGACGTTCTTTTACTGGAGAGCTCGAATCTCCTCTCGAAAGTCCGCAATGGCGGCTTCCTTTTTCTGTTCTTTGGAGGCTGTTAGACTTTTCAGGTCCGCAATATCTTCCACAAGAAGACGCACTGTCTCCCTCAGCTGATTCATGATCGTAAGCATCCTCATGCTGGCAGCTTGAGGGTCCATTGGTAGCCCAGTCTGTAATGTTAATCGATCATTTGGCTGGATTTTTTCCCGGAGTGCTCCAACGAACTGAACTCGGCTGAGGCTGGCCAAGACCACATTGTTGGCCCTTGCTAGGCTTTCCGGCCCTAGCTATCCAGAACATCAACATCTATGGTAGCCATACTCTCCTTGGGAGAGCAGGGAATTGGACGTAAAAGAACCTACAACTGCGCAGGGGAACGACGAAAACGAGTTCATGAGCCTTCGAAGTTGGAAGGTATTTGCCTTGCGCCTTGGAGAAGTGTTCGAGCTGGATGTCTGGTTGCTGAATGTCTCAGTACTCCTTGTCAGGTTTGTGCCATTTTTTGTACTCGCTGATTGTATATGATCTGGTTACGTTGTTGGCCATTAGCAAGCCGTGAAACGTCAACGCGCACGGGAACAAGTTCTTCGGAACACACGTGAAAAACGCGTAATTTAGGATTAGATTCTCACAACCTGCCTACACGAGTCGGCTGCTTTCCAGTTTCTAACAGTTTTCTGATGTTTTATACTGGCGACAGTGTGTTGCGAAACTTTTCCTTGAGAACAATTCTCAGCCTAACTGACTTTTACCCGAATGCGACTGAAATAAACCCCATGACAGCCACATCATGGCGCCGATGGATTGTTGCAGTAAAGGGTTCTGTTCACGAGGTCCATGCCCAAACATTCTCAGAATGACTTTACAATGGAGCAAGCCAGTTGAGAATATTTAAAAAATGTACATTTCAGAGCAGTAGACAAAAATGAGAGAGCAAGTGTGAACAAGTCTAATTGCTGAGCACTGTGGTTACCCTCGATCCTGTTCTGTATCATGCTAGTAATGGCTATGATTAAAACCAATGGTCCTACTGTGTTAGGTCTGGTCCTAAGTGCCAAAACACAGCATTACTAAGGTTCGTACAGTTATTGTAATAATCAAGGAACAGAAAGACGAGGAAAAGGGAGCTCAGATTCTCGGACCTAGTTCAGCACAGCAAGCATGCAAAACCAGCCACGAGCTTGCGCCTTATCACATCACGTAACTAGCAATCGCCCCCCCCCCCAAGATTTTTTTGGGGGGTATAAAATTATAAGCAAAGAGGCAGTCTAATTTGGCGCCGACAGATATAGAGGTAGCTGTTGACAATACAACGGCAGGATAATGCAAAAGTAAAAAGTTCAAACAAACAAACAAACATTGCACACACGAGAGAGCTTGAAAGCTCAGGGCCCTGCGCTATGCTTTTTTGCCTTGACCTAGGGATGTTATAATTTTTTTCATTTCTCCTATTTTGTTAATATATGACCTGGATTCGACCCCGCACTATCGCCCTGCATGCATCACCCGATACACTTCGCATACATACTACTTCTTCCAAGTTGCTTCACGTTATGATCTTGCATTTGAAAGCCCTACTTGAATATCGTGGCCAGCTCTTTGCGGCCAGCCGTCTTTCATGGTGCGGTACGATACGGGACGATCGAGGGTAATACACCGTCTACCACATTGATGACCTAGGCAAAAAAAGCATAGGGATGCCAGTTTTCAATTCTCCTAATTTGTTTAGGCATAACCTGGGATTCGAACCCGCGCTATTGCCCTATATGCATTCCGCCATACACTTCGCATTCATACTCATTCTTCCAAGTTGCTTCATGTTATCATCTTGCATTTGAAAGCCCTATTTGAATATTGTGGCCAGCTGTTTGTGGCCAACTGTGTTTGATGGTACGGTACGGTACGGGACAGATACGGGATAGCGCCAGGCGTGACACAAACAAAAAAACAAACGAGAGAGCTTGGAAGCTCAGGGCTCTACGCTATGCTTTTTTGTCTTGATGACGTAGACAAAAAAGAATAGGGATGTTATAAATTCTTATAAGTTTCTACTTTTTTGTTTTTAGACATATTAAACCTGGGATTCGAACCCGCACTATCGCCCTGCATGCATCCCCCGATACACTTCGCATACATACTAATTCTTCTAAGTTGCTTCACGTTATGATGTTGTATTTGAAAGCCCTATTTAATATGCATTGTGGCCAGCCGTCTTTGATTGTACAGTACGGTACGGGATATGTACGGGACAGGTACGGGACAGGTACGGTCGAGGGTAATACCACCTTGATGACGGCAAAAAAAGAAAAGGGATGTTATAAATTTTTCAATTATCCTGTTTTTTCAGGCATTACCTGGGATTCGAACTCGCACTATCGCCTTACATGCATTCCCCCATACACTTCGCATTCATACTCATTCTTCCAAGTTGCTTCACGTTATGATCTTGCGTTTGAAAACCCTATTTGAATATTGCGGCCAGCTGTATGTGGCCAGCTGTGTTTGATGGTACTTTACGGTACGGGACAGATACGGCATAGCGCCAGTCGTGACACAAACACACAAACACAGAAACAAACAAACACCAAATTAAAGCTGTGTGGACCCTGGCTAGCGCCAGACACTACTGAAGTAACGTCTTCTGCATAGCTACGGGAATAAATACCAAATTAAAGCTGTGTGGACCCTGGCTAGTGCCAGACGTTACTGAAGTAACACCTTCTGCATAGCTACGGGAATAAATACCAAATTAAAGCTGTGTGGACCCTGGCTAGTGCCAGACGTTACTGAAGTAACACCTTCTGCATAGCTACGGGAATAAATACCAAATTAAAGCTGTGTGGACCCTGGCTAGTGCCAGACGTTACTGAAGTAACACCTTCTGCATAGCTACGGGAATAAATACCAAATTAAAGCTGTGTGGACCCTGGCTAGTGCCAGACGTTACTGAAGTAACACCTTCTGCATAGCTATGGCAATAAATACCAAATTAAAGCTGTGTGGACCCTGGCTAGTGCCAGACGTTACTGAAGTAACATCTTTTGCATAGCTACGGGAATAAATACCAAATTAAAGCTGTGTGGACCCTGGCTAGTGCCAGACGTTACTGAAGTAACATCTTCGGCATAGCTACGGCAATAAATACCAAATTAAAGCTGTGTGGACCCTGGCTAGTGCCAGACGTTACTGAAGTAACACCTTCTGCATAGCTACGGGAATAAATACCAAATTAAAGCTGTGTGGACCCTGGCTAGTGCCAGACGTTACTGAAGTAACACCTTCTGCATAGCTACGGGAATAAATACCAAATTAAAGCTGTGTGGACCCTGGCTAGTGCCAGACGTTACTGAAGTAACATCTTTTGCATAGCTACGGGAATAAATACCAAATTAAAGCTGTGTGGACCCTGGCTAGTGCCAGACGTTACTGAAGTAACACCTTCTGCATAGCTATGGCAATAAATACCAAATTAAAGCTGTGTGGACCCTGGCTAGTGCCAGACGTTACTGAAGTAACATCTTTTGCATAGCTACGGGAATAAATACCAAATTAAAGCTGTGTGGACCCTGGCTAGTGCCAGACGTTACTGAAGTAACACCTTCTGCATAGCTATGGCAATAAATACCAAATTAAAGCTGTGTGGACCCTGGCTAGTGCCAGACGTTACTGAAGTAACATCTTTTGCATAGCTACGGGAATAAATACCAAATTAAAGCTGTGTGGACCCTGGCTAGTGCCAGACGTTACTGAAGTAACATCTTCGGCATAGCTACGGCAATAAATACCAAATTAAAGCTGTGTGGACCCTGGCTAGTGCCAGACGTTACTGAAGTAACATCTTCTGCATAGCTACGGGAATAAATACCAAATTAAAGCTGGGTGGACCCTGGCTAGTGCCAGACGTTACTGAAGTAACATCTTCTGCATAGCTACGGCAATAAATATACTTATAACAGTTACTGCGCCTTCCAGAATAGTCCATGAGAGCTGAGCTATAGATCGAGGTAGGAATGACAGATAAAGCCAGCTAATATTGCACAGCGTTGGGGGGTTAGATCAGATCGGAAGAGAAACCATGCAAATGTTTCAATGAATTAAACGAAAACAATCTTATGTGAAGACTGTTCGTCATGACCTACACGTAGAATATTCATCTGGCCCAGAAATGTCCACTTCCTACACTCAGGCCGCATCAGATCAAAGTAACAGGACAAGCAATACATACTCAAAGGCAATAGTACAGATACTTAGCAGTTCTCAATCAAGCGCTTGGGCGCGGAGACATGTCGGTCGGAGCGACGCAAGGGTGCCGGTGCAACAACACTGGGAGACGTCTCGACTCCAAAGGCGTCTGCTGCTGGGGCTAGCGTAACATCCAGCCTGACAGTGCTACTGTTGCTGCTAGCGTCCGGAAGTGGTAGAGGAGAATCTAGTACTGTCGGCGGGTCACTGGTCGGTGTAGGCAGCTGTGCGACCACCGCCTGGTCCGCAGAAGAAGAAACGGGTACTTGGCCAAACTACACCGCCCGCGGTCGTAGTTCTTCCCTATGGCGCTTCCTGACGACATCATCCAGCTGTACTCCGAAACTGTGAGGGCTGTGGACATGCACTACAGTAGCTGGTACCCAAGTTGCTCTACAACCAAAGTTAAGGGCAAACACAGCGTCACCGGTGTTAAACTTTGGCGTAGTCAAGCTCTCCTGGTACACCTTGACCTGCCGACGACTCTCAGACTGCCGCGATGCACTGAGCCGGATTCTCGGTTGCCGGCCCATTAACCGGCGTCTTCCCACTGGTGGTCGGCATTGTTCGATGCGCTAAGAGATGTCGAGCCTGACGTTGAGTTGTTCACCAGTAGTTGACATTTCTTTCATCTTCTGCTTGAAGACGCCAACGTAGCGTTCGGCGAGGCCATTAGTTGCTGGATGACCTGGCGCCGTTGTTGTGTGTAGAATGCCATTGCCATCCAGGATTGCCTGGAATTCCGCACTCGTGAACTGACTGCCGTTATCTGTAACCAAGTGCTCAGGCAAACCAAACACAGAAAACAGATGGCGTAAAGCAGAAATCCTGGTCGCACTGGTTGCATGAGCCATGGGTATTACATCCAAGTACTTAGAGTAAGCATCTACCACCACCAAGAACATTTTCCCCAGAAATGGCCCGGCAAAATCAATGTGTATCCGTTTCCATGGACCCGTAGGCCATGACCAAACACCGGGTTTTGCCGGTGGGCATTTGGCACTCTCTTGGCATTGCAAACACGCATTGACTTTAGATTCTATATCCTGGTCAATATCGGGCCACCACAGGTAGCGCCGGGCCACTTGCTTCATTTTCACCATGCCAAAATGCTCTGCATGCAGATCTCGTAGCAAGAGCATTCGAAGTGAGTTAGGAATCACCACCCGGTTGTCCCATAACAAGATATCATTCTCCACAGACAATTCCATTCTCTTGCTGGCATATGCCTTGAGGTCTTCCTCAATCTCAGCAGGCCACCCATTAACCGTATAGCGAATTACTTTAGCCAATACAGAATCCTTTGCCGATTCTGGTCTCACCACAGCCGCTTTGATTATTGAGTCGTTCTCGATAAGCAAGACCTGTACCGTGACGGTCTCCTCCTCGCTCGGTGACACAGATTGCATTGGTTGTCACGAGAGAAAATCTGCAAGGACTTTTTCTTTCCCCGCGAGATACTGCGTTTCGTAATCATATGCCGCCAGTTGCAATGTCCATTTCTTGATTCAATTAGAGGCGAGAGTGGGGACATCCTCGTGATTTCCCAGTAACTTCAAGAGTGGCCGATGATCAGTGACCATTATGAACTCTCTACCGAGTAGGTACTGGCGAAATTTGGTCACTCCGAACACCACAGCCAATGCTTCTCTTTCAATTTGAGCATAGCGTGACTCTGCTGCGGTCAGCTTACGCGACATGAATGCGATCGGTCGTAATCCGCCATTCTCCTGCTTCTGCAGTAGGACTGCGCCAAGGCCCACTCCCGAAGCATCCACTTGCAACACTGTTGGCCTTTGTAAATCATAGTGTGCCAGTAGGGCTTCTGAACACATAGCATCTTTCAATTTGCCAAAAGCTTGCTCGTGAGTGGTCTCCCAGTGCCATTTCCCACCCTTTTTCAAGAGGTCGTACAAAGGAGCTGCAATTTCTGCGAAATGAGGCACAAACTTCCGCACGAAATTTGCAGAACCGATGAAAGATTGCAATTCGGCAACATTCTGTGGTGGTTTGGCCATTTTCAGTGCCTGTATCCTGGCTGTTGAAGGGGAGACGCCCTGCCCACTGATCGTGTGACCTAAGTAAGAGAGTGCCTCAGCCATGTAACAGAATTTCTCCGGATTCAATTTGAAACCTTTCTCATCCAGTCGATGGAGTACCCGGTCCACGTTTTCCTCATGGATTTCATCATTCGCCCCGGTACATGGCACATCATCAATGTACCCGCCGCTGCCTGGTAGCGCAACCAAGGTTTCTTCCATTACCCTTTGGAAAATGTATACGGCACTGTGGAAACCAAACGGTAAGCGTTTGTACTGGTACAGGCCCTGAATTGTGTTGATAGTGGTGTATTTCCTGCTTTCCGGTGCTACCTCTAGCTGGTGGTATGCTTGGGACAAGTCGAGTTTGGTAAACTTCCCTCCCGGGCCCAACTTGTGCAACAATTCCTCGAGGGTGGGGAGTGGGTACTGTTCACATTCTGAATGCTTGTTAATAGTAGTGTTGAAACGAGCGTATCTATAACAAACGAGCGATCAGTTCCACTAACGAGCAAGCTATCGAGCGAGCTAACGAGTTTCATTGATGTGGCAAATATGATTTTTTGAATAATTTTTTTCTAAGAAAGGGTTTGCTCCCCACACCGGAGCTCGCGCTATTCCGCCGACTTTACTTGACACTTGACTGACTCACGACTGCCATCCAGAGCACACGAGAAGTCCATCGAACCTTCGACTCGGCAAACCTGCAAGAAAGCACCACTCCCTGCTCATTACACAGTGTTTCGGGGAATTCACCCCTCATCAGTTGAGCTTGAGTAGGCTGAGGAAGATTGTGCCTGAAGAGCACCACTTATATAGTGCTCTCCAGGCACAAACATCACCAGGGATACAAACTTACAGAGACGCTCCGCTTCCAGCGCGACAAACACCTCGTGAACACCAGATAGCAGCGTGAGTCAGTGTCGCTCCTGGACGGTGAGACAGACGTCGAGGACCCTCGACCCTTTCTTACAAATCATCGCCGAAGTCGCAACCACTACTTCGTATTTTTTTCTAAGTTCGATTTTTTTCAGCTGGTTCAAATTATCACCGCCGGCATTTGGGGTTGCTGCTGCTTCACTTCGTACTGCTATTTGGTGTCGAGATGTCTTTTCAGCGCCGTCGTCGAGTAGCCTTTGTAAGAATAGACCGTTTTGCAAAGGTTGCAAGTAGCCCTGCCAGGTTCCGCATCTGCTGACCTGTCGCAGGATATGCTTCGGTCACCTCTCCCTTCGAGTGAAAGTAAATAATTACGCTCAGTCGTTTGGAAGTTTTCTCCCGCGATGCAGCGAAGACGGTCTTCGCTGCACCGCGGGAGAAAACTTCAAAACGACTGAGCGTAATTATTTACTTTCACTCGAAGGGAGAGGTGACCGAAGCATATCCTGCGACAGGTCAGCAGATGCGGAACAAGACATCAGTAGAGTCCACCAAAGCTGCAACGACTATTGAAACAACTCAAGTGTCGTGCAGGCATACAGTCACTGTAACTGCGAGTGATTTTTCCTTTGCGCGGGACTGGACTCTCGATCGACCAGGGAGTCGTAAAATATTTTACGACTCCCCGGTCGACATGTACTGCCATGTGTACGGAGTACAGTGTACGGTGTTCGTTAGTGCAAACGAGCTGGCCGCACAAACGAGCCGAGTTTCTGGCGAGCGAGCTAACGAGTATCCGGTGAGATCGTTTCAACACTAGTTAATAGTCCCACTGTAATCTGCGCAAATCCGTAATCCTCCTCCTGGTTTCTCTAATTGTACCGTTGGTGAGGCCCGTTCGGAATGTGTCCCTTTCTCAATCACCCCATCAGCCTCGAGTTTGTTCAACGCGTCGATGTACCGCTGTCGAATTGCTAGAAGTACTGGTCTTGCTCGTTTGCAGACTGGTTGTTCATCTGACACGTGCAGCTTTACTTGCACCCCTTGCACCGTACCCACAGTGGAGTTGTCAAACAGATTCGGGTATTTCTTAACGAAATCGGTAGTGGATTGCCCGCCAGTGCCCACTTTGAATATAGATTTCCATGGCAAAGTAAATCTGGACAAGACATCCCGGCCTAAGAGAGAAGGACCATCACATTCAGTAACTCTGACCAGAACATTCTCCTCTACACCACCCAAAGCCATTTTCATTTCGATTTCACCCAGACATTTGATTGGATTTCCTGTGTATGTAGATAGGGTGATGTTGGATGGTACCAGCTCAGACAAGGAGCCATTGCATTTCAGAAAATCATTCTTTCCTAGCAGTGTGACGGTGCTACCCGTATCAATTTCCAAGTGCACCTTGACCCCATTTAGCTCGACAGGCGTAGTGTACGGTGCTACAGCTCTGTCACTCATGGTGGCATTCACATTCAACATCGGTACAGAGTCATTACAAGGAACACGCTCACTGGGGTTTGATGTGGTCCCGACATGCGTCCCGACATGCTTGACGGACCTGGCCACTTTCTTCTTTAGGCAGGCTCGTTCGATGTGTCCCAGTTTGCCGCAAGCACGACACTTCGCAGATTTGAAGTGGCACTCATCCGGTCGATGTCCCAGCTTGTCACAGCGGAAACAGGGCTTGTCAGATTTGAACGTGGTGTTGTCAGCGAGCCCCGGCTCTCCGCGTACTGCATGAACCTACGTTGAAAACTTCTCAGACTCGCGGGCAGCTGTCTCATGAGCCGTGGCCATGTCGACAACCTGCTGAAATGTTGTCGTCTCCTCAGCCTTCGCCAGGATTTCCTTCGTCGTGCTGGTAGAACCGATCGCAGTGATGAACTGGTCACACGATCCTGCTGTGCTTGAGTGAAGTGAATGAAAGAAATTTTGAACTGTTTTTAGTATGCAACACGTGCACTCCGAACTTTTACGCGAGGTGCGTACCGTTGAGTTCATACACACAAATCGCCAGTGATGTAATGGGAGCTGGCTTCGCGCCAATTCGCGGCGCCGGCTTTGCATTTCGGGCCGTATTTCACCGCGCAACTGTAGGTGACAATATTTTCTGGAAAACACTGACATGGTCACTTTCGTGTATTGCTCACGAGAAACCTGTTCAGACATTACTCAAGTTATCTGGTGACATCTGCGCTGTGCTAACTAATTACTTACTACCAACATACAGCATAGAAGTCAGTGAAAGCTTGTGATCTTTCATTAGTTTTAGACATGTCATATTCCTAGCACTGAGGTAACATGTGTAGTCATAGAAATATTAACAGCTAATGTTGGGAAGGCCGTCGTGGCCATGTGTTTTTTTATGATGTATTTACTATTTAAATAACCGATGAGGAGACAACAGTCGTAAAATAGCAATGAAAAATATCAATTGTGCACTCATAACCATGTATAAACAATTGAAATGAAACAATTCCAGAACCGTTTCGTGTGACCATCAGTGGAACATCGTCACATAGTAGGAATCACTAAAACAACCAGTTATATAGCTAGAGTAAAATGAAAAGAAGCTGCTACCATTCTCAGATACACTGCAAAGGTTCACACTACACGCGTTATGCATAACCGCTAGCTGTGCTGCATTCTCACGCTTCTTTTCATATTACTCTAGCTATATAACTGGTTGTTTTAGTGATTCTTACTATGTGACGATGTTCCACTGATGATGGTCACACGAAAACGTTCTGGAATTGTTTCATTTTAATTGTTTATACATGGTTATGAGTGCACAATTGATATTTTTCATTGCTATTTACTATTTATTCAATATTTCTCTTAGGATGTGAAATATGAAATGTCTCAGAAATGCAGTTTATTTTGGAACGCAATTTCGCGTACATGTGGTGATTAAGCCTACAGTTAGTTCACGAGTCATTTCGTGGGTTGTTTGTTTCTTGCGTTGCACAGTGCGAGACAAGAATTTGCACAACTGCACAAGAGTATTGACGTTGACTCTCAAAATGATTCGTGGTTGCCTTTTGTTTGTTTCTTCTAAGTTAGTTTTGACAAAGGGACATGTATTTTCGTTTTGTCTTTTCTCGCAGTGTTTCCTTTCATTTCTAAGCCGCGACGCCGTCGTGTACTGCGGTACGACGGGTCACGCGCTGCCAACCTACTGCATTCTTTATTCACCAGTTTTCACGGCTACACTGCATGCATTGTATAATGACTCATAATTATGTTTTGCTCGGCGCTGAATCCCGTACTAGTGTAGGGCTTTTTCAGAGTTTGCTTTCGGTGAGGCTCGGCAAGTTCGGTTCTTCGAAAGGAAGAGAAAGAGTTGTCTTTTTGTTTTTTTGCGAAATATCTATTTTACTACCACGAAGTCTTCCCGTTGCGTGTGAGAACCTGCATGACACCTAAGAACACCAAATTGATGTATATAACTTCTCCTTTGCAGACTTCCACTTCATACAGCATCCTGATGAGGGCAATTTGCCAAAAACGTTGAAAATGATTCTGAGAAATGAAAATGAGTTGTGAATTTGCAGTGCCCAGGGAATTAGCATGTGTGCTCACCAATTCTCTTTGAAAAAAGAAGCGACGATAAAAAGAACTTTCTCCGGTACACACCTGGAGGTTGAACAGCTCTTCTGTCCGGCTTTGTTGTTGTTCTAAAATCTCATGAAAACAGAAATGGCCAGCAGCTTTTATCTGCAACAGACCACATACGCTACCGTATGGGGATACGCTAACGTACGAGAATACCGTATATTCTCTATTATAAGCGCCGTGCTTATATTTTTTCAACACCCCTCTACCCCGTGCTTATATTGGAGACCGAGCTTAAATTGGAGACTGCGCTTATATTTTTTAAACCAATACAATCCATACAGAGCAAGGAGAAATATATGCTAGATATCATGCATGCAGCATTGATTTCCACCAAGACCGTGCTAGTAATAGAGACTGTGCTTATAATCTTTCGAAAGGTGCTCACAGTGTGCTAGTATTAGAGACTGTGCTAGTAATGGAGACCTGCGCTTATAATAGAGAATATACGGTACGTTACAAGCAAGGCAGGGATACTACGCAATGTACATCTTATCCAAGTCATGGGGTGCATATATCGGAAAAGAGATTTTTGCGTAGTTCTGTTATTTTGATATGCGGTAAATGTGTATAGCACGGTATAAAGAGTATTAAGAGATTCTTCCAGGAAGTGATATACATCCTATCAAAAATCTACTTTGTTCTCCCAGAGAATTGTTGGATAATAAACTTGTTACCCTACCTGACGGGCTGTTGGACGCGACAACCGAATTGAAATACCTGTAAGTCATGTTGTGCATGTATCGTAAAAAGGCGTTTTTTTGAAGTAGTTCTGTTCTTTTAAGATGTGGAGAATGGAATTTCGGGATGTGGCATCTAGGCATATGCGGATAATGCCGGCAGAAAATTGGCAGAATTCGGTACTTTTTCTTGTAAATTTCATGCATGTTTGGTATGGGGATAAAGAAATGGAGCAAAATTCGAGAAATTGCCCGCCATAAGGTTTGTATCGTTCTGCCAATTTCACTGCTTTTCGAGCAGAATCTGCCAACTTTTCGATGATTATCCGCCAGTGCCCAGTGGCATCTTGTTGGTTGATCTTAGGTACCCTTCCCCACCCTTTATGACCGATACCTGATGACGCTCACGAGTTGGTCGCAACCAACGTAAGCGAAAATGTGGATCTTCATCCACCCTGTACCGAAAACCGTGCAGAACCAAGAGCAGCCTTGTATCAGATACAGTTGTATGTAGACAGCTACGAAGGACCATCCATCTGCTAAGGATGATCATGGCCACTGCAGGTAGCCATGGAGTTTTGACATCATGGCGAAGCTTCGGCACGCTAGCTGCTATTGCTATTCATTTTCCACTCTTCTTGCTCCTGGGTGCCATTGTCCTGATCTGTCAAGGTCTGAACTGAAAAAATAGCTACAACGAGATGTGAGGGCAGTGCTTTTCTTCTCATTGCGCCTGGTGGACGAAGAAATGAAAGAAAAGTTCGCTCTTATTTGTTTGCAGCGTTGACAGCCTTGCTCTGTGACGATTGTCGGCTCTCCAAAATATTATTCACGCTTTCCTACGATTCCGAAATGTCATGTCAGTGTTTCAGGTTTACAAACCAGAGAAGGATAGCGAAATAACAGGAGCGAAAAGTACAAGAGGACAATTCCGGTATATGGATTGATATTGACAATGACCCTCCAGACATCTGTTTCTGTGGTGTTGGTGATGTGAGTGCAGAGTTTGGATCGGCTAAGAGCGCAATGTGGCTGTGCGGTGTATTGCTCTTGATATTTCTTACCAATATCACTGTAGCCGATATATTCTTATATCCGGTCACTCAATAGCCGATACAGACTGTAGTTGTACACAACTCAATACAGAAGAAAAAAAATCCGCGTACAGATACTTCCGTATCGACCTGACTTCACTATCATATTATAGTCGTGCGTAAGAAAAAAACGTTCTCTTTGGCCTCAACTTCTTTGTTGTTCGGTTGGCCATTGTAGCCGTCGACTAGAGCGGCAAAATAAAGCCCTGAACTGATGTCCCCACACGCTGCCCACTTCGGAGTTTGCCCGATGCGTGCCATCCCTGAGCTCCTGCCGCAGTTTTCTGCTCGTTTCAACTCTTGGGTTGCCGCCAATCGCCGGCCGGCAACATAAAACTTGAATCTCAGTATCATCCGACACTGGATCCGCCTCGGACTGCTAAAACCCTAAAACCCTAAATTGGTGACCCCGACATGCGCTCTTCGGAGTTTTCATCATGCCATCCCTCAGCTCGGCTTGCCCCCCCCCCCCCCCCCCCTGCTCGCCTCAACTCTCGGGATCCAGTCAATCGCCGACTGTTGACTGTAAAACTTGAGCCTCACCATTTCGAAACTGGATCCGCGTCAGAGCTAGTACGGCCCCTGCCGACCTCCGGGCCCACCTGGATAACCCGCTATCCTGTCACAGCACATCGTTCAGCCGTCTTCGTCTTTTGTATTCATCCTGGCCTCAAGCTGGAAATTGGCCACCTCCACCCCAAGTATCAGTTTGCAGGCATATGCCCGGCACAGGACTTGGAGGTACGCACGCCTCCATGAGTCCTCGCCTCCCACGGCACGCCTCGCCCCAGTGTTTCCTGTACTCAGTGACTGGTACGTTGCAGCCGCCTCTTACATGATAACACTCCTCTGTCACGCGTACATTCCCTCTTTTCTTTCTTTCCAACTCTGACACCCGCCTCTGTCATGCATCTCTCTCTTTTCCACGTTCTGCTTTCTGAGTTTTGTTTTGGTCTTTGTTGCCACGTTATCAACAAACTTCATACACGCAGCGCTCTCTTGTACATATTGTATTCTATTTTTGCCTTTCAGCCTTGTACATGACGCGCTTCCTTTCTTCTCTCTCCATTCCTTGTTTATCGTGCTTCGCGCCTCCCGGCCTCACCAATGGCGGGGGAGTACTGTAGCGGAATGACGTCACTATCACATTATAAGCATGCGCACAATCATAAAACATTCTCTTAGGCGTCACCTTCTTTGTTGTCCAGTTGGCCTTTGTAGCCGTCGTCTCGGGCCCGGCGTAAAAACCCTGAACCTCTACCGCCTACCTCCATCAATAGAGTGATTCTACTCTACCAGGAAGCTAAAAACGAATGCAGCCTAGAAAGCGGACTGGGGGGGGGGGGGGGGTGGGGACTCTCTTGGTGCTTCAATGGCTATCCGCGATGCGTAGGAATCCCCCCCCTAGCACGTACTGCAGCTGGCTCCAATGATTATTCCTTTCACGTTGGAATTAGACGTTCTTTTCCTGGAGAGCCCGAATCTCCTCTTGAAAGTCCGCAATGGCGGCTTCCTTTTTCTGTTCTTTGGAGGCTGTTAGACTTTTCAGGTCCGCAATATCTTCCACAAGAAGACGCACTGTCTCCCTCAGCTGATTCATGATCGTAAGCATCCTGGTGCTGGCGGCTTGAGGGTCGGTCCATTGGTAGCCCAGTCTTTAATGCTACTCGATCATTTGGCTGGATTTTTTTCCCGGAGTGCTCCGACGAGCTGAACTCGGCTGAGGCTGGCCAAGTTCACATTGTCGGCCCTTGCTAGGCTTTCTGTCCCTAGCTATCCAGAATACCAAAATCGATGGTAGCAATACTGTACCTGGGAGAGCTGGGAATTGGACGTAAAAGAACCTACCACTGCGCAGGGAAACGACGAAAACGATTTCATGCCCCAGGGGCTGCTGTGGCTTTCGACGTCAGCAAGAACATCTGGCGTGTCGTTGACGTACGCCTAGAAAAGTCTTGCTCCAAGAATGCTTCCCTGAGGGACTCTAGCGGTGGTCGTGTACGTAGATGACGTACGCCTCCAACGAGGCACTGTAAGGAACGGGTGTCGAGGGACGAGGCCAGCCATCACTGAAGCAGACCATTGATGCCTAGGCTTCGCATCTTGTGGAGGAGGCCGACATGTGAGACACGATCAAATGCTCCTGTGATGTCCACAGCAAGGATACGCGCTGCCCTCTACAGCCCACAGCGCTTGCCCAGGCAGTTTGGAGAGCTTGCAAAGTGTCTGATGTTCCGAGGCCTCCACAAAATCCAAACTGGTGCGACGTGAGTAGATGGTTGTCCTCAAAATAGTTCACGATGTGTCTGTTTATAGAGTTTCCATGATTATCGAGATTATGCACAGTAAGGATATGGGCCTGTAGTTGAGCGGGAAGATCGCTTGTGGATGAGAACCACGGTGGCCGTCTTCCACATCCTAGGTTGGACTCCAGACCGGAAGCATAAGGCAAATAACTTGGACAGTGGCTCTGCAAGCTCGTGAGCACATTCCTTAAGGACGCAAGCAGAAATACTGTCAGGCCCTGTAGCCTTGGAGACGTCGAGCTTTGCCAGGAGGCGGCGCACAGCCTCTGGGCGGAAGCGGATGGTGGAAAGAGGTGGAGCATCTGAGGGAGCAGGGTCCATTAGGTCAGCCTCCACAAGGTCCGGACCGGCAACGCTACAGTTCTTTGAGAAGAAGCGAGCAAATGCCTCGGCTTTCCCTGAGCTCGTTGCCCACTCGTGGCCGTCAGAGTTGACAATTAGGGGAATTTCGAGCTGTGTGCAGTTGCCAGCGGCGTTCTTCAACTTCGTCCACCACTGTTTGTCTCTGAGGGACCCAGTTGAGAGGCCGCGTGATCGGAACTGAGTGGCGATCGCTACAGTCACGGAATTGGTGAATGCCTGCTGAAGTGCTGGGTCATAAGGGTGTTTTCTCCGGTCGCGCCAGCGCTTTTTCTTCTCCCTCTCAGTCTGGGTGCATTCAGGCGTCCACGATACCGGATTGGAAGGCCTCGTTTCCAGAACTTTGGAAGCGAAAAATTATGCAACAGCTCCAGTTATCGAAGCGGTAACTTGCTCACAGGAAATTTCCTCCGTGATGATATCACCCCATTCCATGTTGCGAAGGTGCGCCCTGACGCGATCCCAGTCTGCCCTGTTGTAGCAAAACACTGGGGGGTTCACGTCTATGGAGCACATCAGAAAAGTCTGACAGTACAACTGCATGGTCAGATCGACCGAGGGGTGGAAGTCTACGTGTAGTTACTGGTGATGTGAATGTTGACATTATGAGGTCTAGCGGGTTGTCTCCACGGGTGACATGCTGAAAAGAAGATGGGCAGCAGGTATCTTCGAGAGCCTCGCCTGCAGGCGTAGTTTTCAAGCTGTTCAACCAAGCCTGGTTGTGCACGTTGAAATCGCCAGCTAGGATAATGTGGGGGCCCTGCTGTCTAGCTTCTGAGAGGATGGTGTCGAGATGGTCAATTAGGGTGAGATCTCCAGGGGCACAGGACTCCGGCCGATACACTGCTCCAAAGACGGTGCGGAGACCTTGGCCCAGCTGGAGAGAAAACCAGATGATCTCATGTGCGGGGGACATGAGTTCAGTGATGAGCATGGAGGGGAGTGACGACTTCACCCAGATGGTTACCCCTCCCCCCATGTACCGTTCTGTCCAACCAAAATGGTGAGCTGTATCCAGGGAAACTAATGTCAGAGGGAAGCACTTTCTCCGCAGTGAACTTTGTTTCTGTCACAATTGCGACGTCGGGCTGATGCTGCAGGAGTGCGTGCTGTAGGTCGGGAAGTTTGCTGGCTAAGCCGAAATACGTTTGTGCAGAGAATATGAAGATGCTTGCTACACTTCATTGCAGGAGGAGGTAATTAAAAAGGGGAGTGAAATTTGGCATAAGCGGACGCATGGCTACATGTATGGCTAAGAGTCCTACAAATCTAATGAAATACCTGAAAGGTGCGGAGAACAACGTCACTGTAGGCTAGGGTTGAGTATCCTGTCATACCAGTTTGCTGAGGCGTGAGCCCTGTGCTGGGGCAAGGGGTTGGCTGTGGCCAGGGTCGATGTTGCTGCTCTGTTTTTTTTTTTTTTTTTTTTTGGAATTTTAGAAATCAGGTGAGGATTACGCACTGGGACTGGTTCTCCTGCGTTGTTCGGAGGTAATCCAGTTTGTTGGCTGTTTAGACATGTCTGTGTTAGACACCAGTGAGGATAGGAGATATTCAGCAAGCGCCGAATCTGGGTGATTGCATGTTGTGGTGGTAGGAGTGGTTGTGTCCGTGTGCGGTGAGGTTGGATGTTGTCGTACCTGTACCTGTGCCGCCTGGCGGCGTTTCAGGGTGCACAGTCATGCTGGTTGCCGACATGGGCGATATAATGTCGTGTTCGTACTGGTCGTTGACTGGGTCATTTGGTGCGAGCTGGAGAGCAGGTCCGCTTTTGGAGTGGTGTTGGCACCGTCGGAGACGGTTTCGGATACGGCGCTGGCGTGGGTCAAACTCTGGGCCGCTTTTGGTGCCAAATCGGTACGGTGAGAGTCAGTTTCAGCTCCGCTGTTCCGCTCTGTGCTGCCCGTGCTACTGCCTTCTCTGCCGGCATGCGTGGAGGTGTGTGCACTGCGACAGTTTAGGCTTTATTCCAAAAAGAATGGGTGAGACATTTTCGAAATTTGAGAAACAGCTCAAAACCCACTCGTAGCGGTCATGACGAGTAGACCCATCCGAACTCGTGAGACACGAACATGTTCCACATTGTCACGACTGGTCTCTAAACCAGCTCCCCCTTCACGTAGAAGATTCACGGCTTGCTAAGAATGCGACAATACTCATAAAAAGGACTTTACGAAAATCTTGAAAGTTTGGGTTTCACAAGTATACTTTCAAGCCTTCTCATCAGGTGAAATAAAGGCAAAGGAAAAGGAAAAGGAACTTTGAATTTAGTACGGTAAGGAGGTGGTCAAGCAGCGCAAAGAAAAAGATAGCTAAAGTAAACAGCGAAAATGCGTGACCTATACACATAGCAATAATGACACAAAAGTGCAAGTGCGAGAAAACTCAATCAGCGTGACATGTAGTGCGACAACAAGAGACAATCACTGGACATAACTAACGAGGTTTTGATAACCTACCTAACAGCCTAAGTGTGAATTTAATTTGCTTATGATTGCTTGCAAAGGTTGGGTTTCTTTGTATGGATGTATACGGCTTCAAAACAATCTAGCACTGCGTACACATGACACAATCGAACAAAATCATCTGAATACCCAGCACAACAATCAGGATGCTCAAACAAATGACTAGCAATGGACGACTCATACTTATCAGAACTACCATCAAAATAATCAGCATGTGCCGTGGACACATCCGATACCAAATGGCTAGTCGTGTGGACCCTAGCCATTACCGCTGTCAGTGCTTTAGACGCTGCCATCACCGTCAGTGCCGATCTTTGCTGTTGCTTGGCGTTGATGTCAGTGCTTTAGACTGCCATCACCATCGTTGCCGATCTCAGTGTCAAAATCTGGACTCACGCATCCGACAACAGGAGATGTCCAGCAAAGAATCATCCTGGTACAAGATGATCTAACGCAGCGACATGAACACCAAGCAACGTCACCTCACAATTAACTAGACCACCGGAAAAACAACCGGACAAGACACTTACTGGCATGGCAGTGACAGGAACCGCATCAACTAGAAGAATGACAAGTTCGGCAACGACGGCAATGGCAGTAGGAGCAGTCTGAAGAACAAATTGCCTGACTCCACCAAGACTCTAACCAGGGACCCTCGCTTGTAGCCAGCGATGCTGTAACCACTGAGCTATGGTGTAGTGGTCATCCCAGCAGAAACCGTTCAACATTTTCTTCAGACTTCGAAACTCACACTTTGTGTGAATCTATACAGGCGGGTGAGACGCAGCCCTCACTGTAATCCACACACTCCACCTACAAACTAGCACGCAATATTCTTCCAAGATCATACATCCTATCCAAACTCTACTCTGCTCTCCCAGAGATTTGGACGATAATCAACTTGAATCTACACAGGCGGGTGGGTACAAGCCCTCACTGTAACCCACACACTCCACCTACAAACTAGTACGACAAAATAGAGTAATAAGATATTCTTCCAGGAAGTGATAATTATACATCCTATCAAAATTCTACTTTGTTATCACAGAGATTTGGACGGTAATCAACTTGTTCACCTACCTGACGGGCTGTTCCAAGCCACAACCAAATTACAATACCTGTAAGTCATGTTTTGAATGTACCGTAAAAAGGCGTTTTTGTCGTATTTCTTTTGAGATGTAGCAAATGGGATTTCGGGATATGGCATCTCGTTGATTGATCTCATGTACCCTTTATGACCCGAACCTGACGCCGCCCATGGAAGACTTTTCCAGGTAGAACTCAGAGTTGGAAGCAAAGAGCTGAGATAATCTCCTTACAAGTTCCACTGCGCATTCCTTCAAGAAAGAAACTAGCTCCTGCGATTTCTTTTCCACTTAGCCACCTATTTAACCTCTCCTTCACCACAGGCAAGTTCCCTACCGACTGGAAACTGGCTACATTTGTGCCTATTTACAAGTGAAAAGGCAGCAAATCCCAAGCGAGTAACTATCGCCCGATTTCCCTCCTGTCCTGTATTTCCAAACTTTGCGAACGGCTCTTCTTCAATCAATTACAAATAGCGGAGTCCTCCGTCCTTCAATCAATTATATAATCATATTTCTCCTGCTCTGGATCCCGCGCAATCTGGGTTTCGTCGTGGTGACTCGACTGCTCTACAGCTCACCAAGCTGATCCAAAACATTGCCGACCATTGTCATATGGGGCGGAAAGTTGCCATGTGCTTTTTCGACCTCGAGAAAGCTTTCGACACCGTGTGGCACTGTGCATTACTTGCTAAACTTTCCAAAGTTTTCGGTGTGTGTGTCGCAGCGCTAGAGTGGATTACAGACTACCTATCCAACAGGACGCAAGTAGTCTTTGTAGGTGGACTTCTCTCAGATGCCTCGCGTGTTCTGTCCGGAGTGCCGCAGGGATCCATCCTAGGGCCCCTCCTTTTCCTAGTGTATATTACTGATCTTCCCAGTCATGTTGAAGGTGTGTCCTTATTTGCTGACGATACTGCACTGCTCCGGTTCAATGAGTGTCTAGAGAGGCTGCGAGTGCGGCATCAACGAAGTCCATCAGTGGATGACTACCTGGAGATTAAGACCTAATATCGCCAAGACTGAGATATTATTCCTGCCGAACTCGGAGCCAACCTATGCATTTACTCTTCCCGGATCCCTCACAGACCTCACAGTGGTAAAGCAACACAAGCATCTTGGTCATTGACTCAGACTTATCGTTTAGTTGACATGTCGCCTATATCTGTAGCAAAGTCAGTAAAGCTGTTGGCTATCTCGTGTCTCATTTCTCCCACCTACCGCTTGAATGCATTTGCCTTTTTTTATCTTTGCTATAATCTCCCCATTTTTTTTCTATTGCTCAACCGCCTGGTCATCCCTGCCAAGTACATCGTTAATCAGTACCCTGGAAGTCCACAATAAGAGGATACTGAAAGTCCTTTTCCGCAAACCTTCCCTATCTCTAGTCAAGCGGATCGAAAACTGTGTATTGTTGTTCATTCTATTCGTCTTTACAAAGCCCCGCCACACTTGCGTAAATATAACTGGTTTCTTCCCACTCGTTCTACGCGCAATCCCTGCACTTTACCTAAAGCCCAAACATCAGTTTATACCGGATCTCCGTTTTTCGCTGCCTATTCTCTCTGGCTGGCCCTGCCTCTATCAGTAAAATCGTCTTGCACCCTAAATGATTTCAAGGCCAATATGAAGCTCGTGTTCTAATAGAGAGGTTCTGCTATACGTCAAACGTAGAGAAATCACGTAGAGATCAGGTGTCTGGGTTAGAGTATACGGCTTCGTATGTTTTGGGTCCAGATTTCTACGCGGAGCTGAGGTTCTCTACGTTGTGGCACACGCAAAGAAAATGCGTACGGATTGGCTGGGTATCGATCAACTGATGCAGAAAACTGCCAAATAGAGAAGGGAAATTCCCAGTACTCATTCCACGTAACCTCTCTACATGAAGAGTGGAGCAGAACAGGATTTCTTTACGTTACGGGAACGCGAAGAGACTTCGCGTGATTCTCACACTCCCGAAATGTAGAGCAGAACCTCCCTAATACCGTATTTTCCGCGGTATACGCCGCACCGGGATATAAGCCGCACCCCCCTTTTTGAGGCAAAATATTGACTAAAAGTTGGTATTCGGAGTATAAGCCGCACCCACAAACCAAGATTTTTCACACTCATTGACAAATGGCCTTTCTACAAATTTATTATGTATGGATGTGTGGAAACCGGCACTTGCAATACGCAAAATAGAGTCCCCGTATGCGCGCACCGTAATGTGTAGCCCGCGCACTAAAACTAGTAAAAGTGCCGGGATAGCAACACAGGCGCGCAGCTGAGTCGAATGACATGTAACGTGACGTCAGCATGCATACTGATGTATGTTAAGCATTCACTCGCGCAACCATATTCGGTGTATAAGCCGCAGGGGCGACTTTTGTCCGATTTTTAGCGAACAAAAGTGCGGCTTACACCCCGGAAAATACGGTAAACTGCTAATTCTTTATCGAGGTTTGTTTCTCTTTGCCTCCAGTAATGTGTAATATTTATAATTCTGCTTTGTTTTTGTTTACTGCCATGGCTGGCTACTGCCCCCTCCCTCCATATTGGCCTATAATCTCTGGCCACGGTAAGGTGAAATAAATAAAAGTAAAATAAAATTGCATCGCAGCTAAAAAAGAAACTATTTGATCGCAAAACGAAGTGGAACCCATGCCGCTCGTCAACAATTACAATACTTTCGTTTCGACAAGTTCTCCCTGACTCCATTATCGATACGAGGAAGAACTCGTTTGTTGTAAACGAGACGTGCATGACTGTATGAACGTGAGTGAGTTGTCATTCTTCCTGCTTTCGCGCGGAATATTTCTTCCAGTTCACAGTGAGTTTTTCCAGGCAGCTCTCGAGTGCTCATATGGTAAGACGGCAAACTCCACGGGCGATGGCCAGTAGGCCTTGGCGGATAATGCTCGAAAAGGTGGCAGATTCTGCTTTTTTTGCACCGAAATTGGCAGAACCATACAAACCTTATGGCGGACAATTCCTCGAATTCTGCTCCATTTCTTTATCCACATACCAAACATGCATGAAACTTACCAGAAAAAGTACCGAATTCTGCCAATTTTTCTGCCGGCATTATCCGCCAAGGCCTAATGGCCAGGATTGCTCATCGTTTTGAAACGGACTGTATGTCCTTCACATTGATTCAATGCCGAATAGCTTATGTTTATTGCATGAACCATATAGCTGGCAGTACTTCTTGAAGAAATGAAGAAAATCTAGCTGGCCGCTTTTGGAAAACGCCCGGGGGAGTACAGATATATGCGTTCAGAACCGAATGATTCTAGTCTATACATGTTGCCACTCACCGACTTACAATATTTAATGCTCGTTCCATAGCAAACCAGTCGGGCGAACTCATTCAAATCGGTGTGGACGGCGGAAAGCGCCCCCTCCAGCTCCAACACCAGGCACTGCTCCAGACGCCAGCACGCCAAACTCTGCAGCGTGGTCACCTCCACCGAGTCTGACAAGAAATTTGAACTGACAACCCTTGTCACTCCAAACAACAATCATTAATTTACTGAAGAGGGAAACATCCCCGACACAAGTTGTTTCACAGAACACATATTTTCGGTTTTACAAATCTTTTTAAAGGACCGACCGGTTTCGCTGTCTAAGGCAGCTCATCAGAGTGAAGAGAAATGTAAAAACACAACAGAATTTATGCAGGCGAGAGTGGCACTAAATTATACGTAGAGGATATAACCCGAGTCAGAGGGTTATACCGGCTGAATATAAATCCCGACTGCGATAGCAGGAGGGATTTATATAAGGGTACGGTATAACCCGACTACGAGGGTCATATCCTACTTATGCCAGGTACCCATACGCATTTCCAGAACAACGAACCTATTTGGAGATCTCCTACATCATGCAGTACATGAACATCTTCTGATGGTTATCAGTTGTCAGTTGAAAGAATGGTCGAGCAAGGTCAGAAGGAGATTCCTCCGTGGATGTTTGGCATAAGATTTCCTTTCAGTACCAGTGAATATTGTAGCATTTTCATGATCTTGTCTTGAGTCGTGAGCGGTGCGGAAGTCGACTGAATTGCTGCGGTGTTGGAGTTTGTCGTTGAATCAAACTACCGTCACTAGTTAGATTACAGACTCTTTGGGAGTAAGTGTTACTATAATTATGGTACAGTGCTGATTTTCACATGCGGCATCTTATAATCAGTTTTGCTTGCAAGTAGATGCATTTGCATGCACTGTTTTGTATCACATTTCAATCCAATCTATTGTAGCCTTTTCCAATTGGGTTGAAGTACATGTACACTGGTATTATAAACTTATTTACGAAGGAGACAGTCGGTTGATGATCTTCAACTCTTCGAAGTACAATGTACATTGCTTACCCATTCGGCATACTTCGTGGTTATTCGACGTTCTTTATCCTCAGATTCAGTATAACAGAATACTCTGTAGACGAATTCCAGGTCATTCTTCTTTTCCATTGTGTACTGTTCCTCGTGAGTGTGCCGTTCTGTGTGGAGTGTACACGTGCATGTGGTGTCCGTTGTGTCTGTTTATGTATGGTCCGTGCACTGGAGTACTGCCGCCGTACAAGTTCACTGCCTTTCAGGCAGTGAACATGTACGGTGGCAGTGCCCTAGCGTACGTACCGTGCACCGGGATTTATATTCTATATAAATCCCGCGCGGGATTTATACTGGCCAATATAACCATGGCTAGACGAGCGCTGATTGGCTGAAAACAGGCCCTCCGTACCATACCATGGTATAAATAGATACAAGTAGGCCCCTAAAATGCTAGGGGCCCCAAGGGCATTGGGAGTTCCTAATTTGGAAGTGCTGCAATTCTGTTATGACATATGTGTAATAATGTGGGCTTGAATTCCAATATGGATGAATGCTTATATGGAACATGCTTTGTGATTATGAACTAGTTGTATGTTGTACATGAAAAAGCATGCAAGCCCAGTTTGTACATTATATCTGTCTGGTAATGTGTACAGACTTATTTTTGGCAGTGTCAATATATAGTGTCAATATATTGACACTGCCAAAAATTTCAGGAAAAGGGCCATAAGTCGTAGATTTCACGAAAAAAACTGCTGTTTGATACTGACTTTCTTCTCATCGCGGACCAGTTTAGTACCATCATGACTTTTCAACACGTGGCTTCTTTTCTCTTCTTTTTTCACATCACCCCATGTGGATCCGTGGAATCGATTCCGAATCGATTCCAGGGCTCACGACATGGAAATCGAACGACTTGAATGCATGCGAATGGATTCATGAATCAATCCAAGTGTGTAATTGAAAGCACTCGGCCGGGCCATCCTCCACTCGCTCTGGCGTTTTTCTGCACTCTGGAACCTGCTGCCAGATGATGTTGGGACCATAGCAAGACAGAACAAGTTTAGCATAAGTTGCCTACCATATTGTTGGTAAGATTAGCCCGCCCCTAGCTCTCCTCAACCACCCTGTCACCCCTGATACTCGCTTGTCAGACACTTTCGTAATTGTCGAATTCCTGTCCTCTCTTTTCTAAATGCGGCTTATCCATTCGCCTTTATAACATTGGGTCTAGTTCCCGCTTATTGTGTAAATTAAAATAAACCAACCAACCCAGCAACATAGCAGATCAACGGATTTGATCGAGTTGATCGACAATCAAGATCAGAATCAAAATCTGGACGATGAAGGCTGATCAGCAACGAGATGTTTGCGTACATTTACCCGAGTTGCCGGAGTTCGCAGCATGTAGCAAGGTGTGGGTTTTCCTCAGGTTCGGTGAGGAGCGAGCGTACGTCTGCTTGTTGTAATTTTCTTGTCGAGCAACTATTTGTCCCCAAAAGGTCGACACTCTAATCAGTGACAATGCAGAGCTTGTTGACCGCGCAAAGTGTGGTCTCAGCGCGACTCCATCAACCTGGCAAGGAGGACATTTTGAAATCAGCTCGCATTGAAAATTCGATTTCTAGGACTCAGATGACTATGCTCAAAACCCCAATAATGACTATTGTGTTGAGATCATCACGTTATCTGCTTGCAGGAATATAGATCCGGTGGGAATATAGACATTATGTCGATAGGAATCAACTTTATTCTCTTTGTCGAGCTATGTCGCTCCGGCAACAGATTTCATCCATGCGTGAAACACAAAATTACTGTTGGCATCCTAAAAAAATGCACGAAACACACGACCAACTTGCCAGATATACGAAATAGCCGTGGATGCATTTCCGTACCCAACAAGTCGATCTCTCCGGGGTGCAGCTGAAAAGCAAGTGCTCGAACCTGTCATACCTGTCATACTGGCCAACCCTCCCGGTTTTCCTGGGAAAATCCCGGGAAATCAACACTACTCCCGGGGTCCTGGGGATCTGAAGGAAAATCCCGGAAAAGTCACAGTTTTGTCTGATACAGGATTTTCCTGAAAACTCCATGGATTTAGTTTGAATGTCCCGGTTTTTTCTAAAATATGTACGGTGCGCACTTGCACTTCGCACTGTAAATGGCACTTTCAAGACCTGACCACAAGATCTGCACTGACAGGCGCTATAGGCGGGCGCCGACGCGCCGACTGATCGAACTGCAGTGCAGGGTTGAACTGCGCCGTACGCAGATCTGCAGAGTTGAACTTTTTTGGCGGGAAAAGCCCTTTTCACTTGTTTTTGTGCCATCCAGGGATTTTGCGAAAAATCCAGGGATTCTGCATGTATTGTCAAGGGATTGAGATTTTGGTGGTTGATCAGTATGCTACGGGGTCGAAATTTCAAATGGTATTCCTGGAAAACAGGTCGAAATCCGTCGATCTGCTGTGTCACGCGGTGGTCGGCACACGGCCAGTTTCAGGACACAAAAATATCGTGCTTCAATCGCACAAATCGAGATCTGTTCAATATGTTTGCACTTCTGCAGAGCTTTGCTGCTAGTGAAATTCGAGTTGTTCAGGGAAGGAAATGGTTGTTGTTTGGAGTGACAAGGGTTGTCATTTCGAATTTCTTGTCAGACTCGGTAGAGGTGACCACGCTGCCAGTGTTTGGCGTGCTGGTGTCTGGAGCAGTGCCTGGTGTTTGAGCTTGAGAAGGCTCTTTCCGTCGTCGGGTATATAATTGGCAATGTTGCAATGTGGTGAAGTGAAAATATTTTAATTTGTTTATTTCCAGAAAACCTGGAACACTTTTTTACGAGACATGTCCTGGGTGGTAGTGGAGTATAGTCCACTATCCTGCAGTGCATGGTTCAGAAAAATAGACGCTGTAAATGTCTCCCGCTATGGCCCTTGACATTTGGCTATTCTAGCGATGCAATTTAGTGATATTTGGAGATGGTGGCCATTGCTTTCCTGGATGTAGCCATGGCTCTATGTGGTGGTAATGTGAAGACTGCTCAGGTGAGGTAAATTTGGCATGGTGGTGGTTTGTTCTTAGCTCCATTGCGTACGCTGTACTAGCGCTCGTTTTGGACCCAATATTCAGTCGTATTTTGGGCCCATTTTAGCCAAAGTGTCCGTAAGTTATGCAACGAGCCCTTTTGCATGATTGTTGTAGACCCCAAAAGAAACCCACTTTCAAAATTTGAGTGAAATCAGAGTATTGGCCCGCCCAGCGTTTTTGGTTTTCTCAGATATGCTCTCTTAAAAATGCTACAAGATGAAAACCTTAAATTTCCCTGTCAAAAGATTATTTAGACACATTTTCCAACATTCCTTCATACTCTATCCTTGTTCAGGTATTTGCAAAAGAATAATCTCCGCTATCTTCCCGGTGGACTGCCTCATGACACACCTCACTTAATTGATCTGTAAGTCTTGCCTGACTAACGAGACTACACACATTCCCAGTATTTCCTGAATCAGCCGTTTGCTCTTCCTCTAAGGATCTCTGCAGACCTGGGATAGTGAGTAGGCTGGGGATGCTGTTTAGGATAGCCATCGGAAGTGGCCCTACTATTGTGACTATCGAGTATGCAAGATAAGTAACAAAGGATACTACTGTCGATGATGAGGAGTATGAGTGTGATTTGCTTAGTTTATGATGCAGTTTTATCATAAGCAGATCAAGACTTTGCAGTGTGTTGCAAATTCCTGTAGGAGGACGAATAGTTTCTTTCGGCTCCTACCCACACATTATTTCATACATCTACTTCGAAGTAAGTTTATACATCTCTTATACATCCGCTAGGGTTTATCGGGTGTTAGCGGCCGTCGTGAGTTCCCTTCGGGAACGGATACGATAATTTACTTTTTACTTTTATACATCTAAGTTGGTATTCGATCAGCAAGATGTGCAACCTCCGCCTAGAAGAAAACCTGCAGATAAACTGAGATAATCGCTACAGACAAGGCAACGCTACTGCATTGTGGGGAGTGAGCTTGTATGTAAATGACTCGCCAACCAATTCCTACTTAAGAACCCCAGTGCAGCCATGACATATTCGCAGGTGTGCAACCACCCCTAAATCGCAATTTTGTCTCTCACCATCTACCTTCGCTCTCCTCCCTCTTCCCTGAGCCTCGTGCTGCCCGTTGTACGAGGAGCCAAACCACCCAACCCATTGCAGTTAACACATTGCGTACTTCTGATGGTGTCAATTCTTTTGCGTTGTTCTTTAATGCGCTACCCTCTGAACTCTGCAGTTCCTCACACACTCAGCATTACATGCAGAAATTCAACAACTTTTTGAAGGACCCAATGCAGGTCAATCGCTTCCTTAACTTCCTTTTTGGCCGCGTTACCAATGTGTGGCGGACGTTGTATATCCTGGAGTGACAGTTGTGTATCCTTATTGACTTCTTTTTCTTTGCTGCAAGTCACACTCCATGTATGTTCTTCATTATCTTCACCTTTACTGTGTCTTCACATTGGCTATAGCCTCATCTTTAAACTTTTCTTCTTCCTTTTGCCTCATCGGCGCTCTTTAAATTTGGTTGTCAACACTGTTGATTTGTTCGATGTTAAATAAATACTATACACCACACCACCACATTTCGCTCTTGGCCGATCCAAACTCTGCGCCGTAAAGCGACAGTGAAATTACGAGACAAGCGGGAAAGTTCCTCAACATCCATTGCTAGATCGAAATTTAGCAGCATCGGACGCAGCACAGCCCTGACTGGAGTGAATGCCCCATGGGCCTCTCGGTGTGTCAAGTGGCTGTATTGGAGCAGAAGATGCTGACTGAAGGCGCAGGCAACATCAGTGTGCGTCTCCAATGGGTATGGCGGCGTGGTGTAGCTGTGTGCGACGGGCTGGCAGGACATTGATAGCCTCAGGGGCCTCTGGGTATGCCACGTTGGCCAGTTCGCTTCGTCGTTCGTTTTTGGTGTCACACCTCGTGAAAGTGTGACAAGTGTTCAACAACATGAACTAGAAGAAAGAAAGCTGAAGGAAACGGAATTCAACAGAGAAAACAACACGATCAACATTCAAAGACCTAGACGATCAACGGCTAATTATTCAATGAATTATTACAATACTGGATGTCAAGCACCGGTGAAGACACTGGGAACAGAAGATTTGGCAACAACAGGAACAACAACAATGACAACAACAACAATGGTAACAAATTACCATCAAGATCAAAGGAGGAGTCAACGAACAGAGGTTCAGCAACGTGAAGCGAGCCTGGGACCGATCGGTGGTGATGAGGAGAATGACACGGAGGACGACACTGAGGACGAGTTGGAAGATGAGACGGGGGACGAGGTTGCGGTTGGTGGAGACGAGGAATCGGATGGTGATTGTGATCGTAAGAAGTCTGCCGTTTTTCTTCATCTGTTGTCTCACCCTAAGTGTCTGCAGGTGTATGATGATTTTAGTTTTTCTGTTCTTTGTCGTGCACGGTACGCTAGTCAGTTGAAAGTACTTGAGGCTGTTTGTATTCGTTTGCATAAGCCTGATCTTTGTAAGCAGAAGAAACATGTAGTTGCGTTAAGATTGTTTTCGTAGGTGCACAGCATGATTGTTTGTCTAACTACACAGTTCTAGCATTGCAATTAGTTCCTCACCCCTGTTGCACTTAGCTCTCACTTTACTTCTATTGTCTCACCTTCCCTCATTCTATTTTTACCACTTTGTTTCGTTCTCGTAACACATTTATTAAATGTATATAAATTATTGATTTGGCATGGTTATTCTTCAGTCACGGCTTTCCACTGATGATTGTGACAAGAAAATCGATTTTGGTAAACCTTCATGACTTTGTTGTAGTGTGGCGATGACAGCAGAATTTGTTCTCTTTATAGCTATTATAAAATTGTTGTCTCCGCGTCGATTATTTACATTATTATTATTATTATTATTTATGTTAGGTTGAGCACTCTTACCTTATCACGAACCCTTGCCGCTCGCCCTGTGCAACGCTCACTGCTCTTGGAGCATTTCGAGCACTCTTGGCGGGGTTTGCAGCTCTTTATCAAAATGCTTTGCTTCACGGAAACGAATTGCGAAGAGCTGCGCTTCGGTCCTCTGAGCTGTGCTGAGGACCTCAAACAGAGCGAAACAGTTGCTTTCCACAGATTTGAGTATTATTATATTATTATTAGAAGAGAATTGGTGAGCACACATGCTCATTTCCTGGGCACTGCTAATTCACAACTCAATTCATTTTACAGAATCATTTTCAACGTTTCGGCAAATTGAGTTCATCAGGATGCAATATGAAGTGGAAGTCTGCCAAGGAGCAGTTATATACACTAATTTGGTGTTCTTAGGTGTTGATAATATTTCTATGACTGCACATGTTACATCAGTGCTAGAAATATGACATTTCTAAAACTAGTGAAAGATCACAAGTTTTCACTGACTCATATGCTGGGTGTTGGTAATAAGTTAGCACAGCTCAGATGTCACCAGATAACTTGAGAAATGTCTGAACAGGTTCTCGCAAGCAATACACAAATGTGACCATGTCAGTGTTTTCCAGAAAATACTGTCACCTAGGTAGCCAGTGTGGTGTGACTGTTTTAGAGTAATGACCATCCAGCACTGGTGTTGATCTCTGGGCCTTCGTTTCTGATCTCTACTGCCTCTCGGAATTTGCGGCTTCCCTTTCACTGGCTCTTGCAACCACAGACACTGCCGAGAAGACGCTGTCCCCGACACCTAGGTTGATCCTCGCATGCTTAGCTCGCATGTGGTCACCCCATGGCTTATCCACAGTGCGCCTACGAGCTTCACCGTTGTGTTCCTCCAGTCTCGTCTCCAGTGTGCGACCCGTCTCTCCGATGTATTTTTCCCTGCACAACTTGCATTGCAGCCGGTGTATCACATTCTTCTTCAAACATATTTTCACTCCACCCGACTTACAAGTCAGACACGGTCCCATTGGGCGTCCTCTTCTCTTTGTCTTTCTGATGTTGGGCTCCTTATTGCAGCTGGGCGGACTTTGTGCTGAGTGACAGAGCTGACGTTTGAGGCTACCCGCACGCTCGTAAACCACCCGGACTGGTAGCTTGTGCTTCCGGATAGCTTTCGGATGATGCATCCTGTCCGACTTATATGGCAGCTTCAGAAACGCACAACACGGATTACCTCGGCGGCGACGCTTGGGTTTCCTTGCTGCTTCTCGGGCATTGATGATGAGGCTCTCTGGATAGTGGTTGAGTTGAAGTTGGTCTTGAATTTTCTGTTCACTTTCTTTACACATGGTGTCATTGGAAGACAGACGTTGTGCTCTTAAGAATTGAGACTTGGCAACGGCAAGTTTGATGTGATGGGGCACAGCAGATGCGTAGTCTATCAGCAATCCACTATTGCATGGCTTTTGGAAGAGCTTGTACGTCATCTGGCCCGACTGTTGTATGGCAATCGTCACGTCCATGTAATCAATCCAGCCTTTGCTACTGCTGAGCTCGTAGGTGAACTTGAGTGGGTCGTGTCCTGCATTGAAATGCTGTATTAGCTCCAAGAGGCGTTTCTTACCGTGGGTCCAGAGAATGATCACATCATCAATGTACCGTTTGTACAGCACAGGCAGAACCGGTGACTCAGCCAGAAGGTGCGTTTCCAGAGAGTGCATGAACATTATTGTGAATGGTGGGGCTAGATTATTGCCCGTTGCAACTCCCTCTAGCTGGTGGTAAATTTCTCCTAAGAACAGCAAATTAGTGTAAATTATAAGTGCTCCTTGGCAGACTTCCACTTCATATTGCATCCTGATGATGGCAATTTGCCAAAACGTTGAAAATGATTCTGTAAAATGAATTGAGTTGTGAATTTGCAGTGCCCAGGGAATGAGCATGTGTGCTCACCAATTCTCTTCGAGTTATGAAGCTGCAGGATGCCTCACCGCTACTTCGTTCATATTATTTTTCAACATCATATGCCTCCACTGATGAGCTCAGGAGGAGCGAAACAGCTGTCTGGAAGACCAGTGTCAATATCGTTACAGTGTGTGCCGCTTATCGGCCGGTTCATGTGCAGATCATGACATCTCAATCCTGGAACATATTGACAGCACAATCGATCGAGTGCAACAGCAAGTCGCCAAGCTCGTAATTGCCGGGGACTTCAACGTGCACAACAGCAGTTGGCTTCAGAGCAGCAGGACGTCTCTAGCCGGCGAAGCCGCTGAGGATATGTGTGCCCTGCATGGCCTCACCCAGCATGTGGCAGAACCAACCCGCGGAAACAACACTCTTGACCTGATAATGTCCGACTTCCAGGAGCGAGTGGAGGTAGATGTGTTGCCTCCTGTTGGTAAATCAGATCACGCTGTAGTTGTTGCCACATTCCGCGCTCGAGTGCAGCAATAGAAGCGCACCCACAGAACTGTTTGGCGTTAAAACCAAGCAGATTGGA